AATCAGATGTCTGCTTTTGGATGGCTCAACTGATGTGTTTGTTTTAAAAACCTTTAATTTATTTTGAGAAGGAATTTGGAAGTGCAGCAAGTAAGCTTTTCTGGGGTCAGTGCTGAAATAACAGATCGAAGCTCTCACAAGACTATTCATGCATTTCCTGTTCCTTATTCTCTCTAACTTGGTCTCTGACTGTCTTTGTTTTTCTAAAATGTGTCATGTCAAGTATGCAGGATACATTCAGCACATTCGGGTCCATCTTCAGGAGCAGTCAGCAGTACCCGAGCTTAACCCACATTAGCTGTCCCTGTGCACAACTCCAACACTGAGACTTGTTGCAAGTTTAAACATTTACCTTTTTAAAGAGCAAGAAAAAAATTCCTTAGCTTGCATTCAAGTTCAGGCTTGCATGGAGAAGTGTTTCAAGAGTTCTTGAAAGAGGGATTGTTTTAAATACTCAGAGCACGAATATAGCTACATGCTAGCTTGTGTATTCCTTCTCTTGACCATAATTACTCATCAAACTTGATTTCTTTCCAACAACAGCTTGTGATCTCACTCAGGGATCAAATGCATCAGCAAAGCCAATCAAATGAGTCAAACCTTTTTGCAAGGCACAAGGAAGCTTGAATCTGCTCGTTTCTCTCGTGGTTCTAAGGAAGTGCTGATTGCATTTGCTTCCTCAATCATTTGTAATGTGAGGTATTCAAGTTATTGACTTATTTGGGCAAAAATGTTGATCTTCCTGAAGTTGCACTTGGTGACTAAAAGGGAAAAATTTCTTTATTTCGGCACTTGGGCAGCATCTGCAGTACATATAGATTGTAAAAGCTGCATTTGGTAAGAAATAATCTATGTCCCAGATTTGTGCAACCAGCTGAACTGTTACTGTTTTGTCTTTTTGGGTTTTTAGCACTTTGGAGCTGTTAATGACCTGTGATCTGCCTCAAAACGCATGGTTAGAGTAGATGGAATCAGATTTTTTTTACCATTTGATCTTACACAAACTAAGATACACCTAGATCAGAAGTTTTATAACCCCAAACAGTTCATGGAACAATTTTAGTGATGTGGTTTATCTCAAAGCTTATTCCTTTGGTTCAAGGCTTAAGACAGGAAATGTGCCATATTGATTAACATGGTTTTGCAAATTCTGAAACTATCTGGCAGGCTATGTCAGGTTCTATGTAAATTAGGGTTGGGGTACAACAAAAGATCATAAAATGTACAATGTTCATGGTAAAAACACCTGTTGAGCATGACCGAGAGGAAGTGACACTATTTAACACAGTGATTTAGCTTGACCGATGACAATAAAATAAAAAGAACACTGAAAATCGAAGCTTGGCAGTAATCTTTGGCAAATCTGGGTCATTGAAGAGCAAGGTTTTCAAAAGTAAGCTTAGCCCTGTGTGATTTCGGGCATTGAGGTTTGACTGCATAATTAAACATGGTGGATTTAAATTACAGCTGACCTTTAATTGCACTGGACATGCTTGACCTTTCTGTTGTTAAACAGACTAACCATATGCAGACGTAAATTATTGATTTAAAACCACTATGGACACGGGTTGCCCGGTTTCCAAAGTGATCTGATTTTGCCTTTTTAAAAATAAACCACCAACTCAATCTTGCTTGCCTTGAAATCACATTAGTGTGTTTAACTGCTGCTGTACTGTAATCCTTACCCAAACACACGATAGCAGCGGTCACAGAGAAACACAAGCTTCACAACAGCGATCTCTCATCAAACAGCATTTTTCAGTGCCCTGTGATCAAGGTTAGCCCAATGTGTCAGATGCCACAGCATGAAGAGTTAATTTAAGAGATTTTGTACCCCTGAACATGAACAGACTCTTTTGGCCTTTGAATTACTGATAGGAAGATGTCAGTTAGTTTGTGATACAGGGTTAATGAGGAGTTATTAAGTGTGTGAGAGAGACTTGGCATCAGCAGGGTGTCTTGTGTCGGTAGACAGGAATACAATAGCTATGTCTTTGAGGCAGATGGACACACTCCATATTCATGAGCAGGGTGCACTGCATGCTGGGATTGCCTTGAGGTTAACAAGGGAGATAAACTCCTCACCAGAATCCAGAAGGAAATGGGAATGGGTCAGAATATTTTAATTTCTCTTACTTCATTTTATCTTATGTTTTATTTGTGTCCAAAATATAGATGTCCAAAATGCATTGTAAAGTAATCTTACGATACTGTCAGGTGTATCTTTGAGGGAAGGAAGAACAAAATAAATAGGAAGTGAGAATAAGAGGAAGAGGATTTTTCGAATAGTTGATAAGAGCCTCATCCAAAAATACATTGGCCTCTACTTTTAAAGGGTCATGAAACCCTAAACCCAATTTTCTGAGATTTTAACAGAGGTATGTGTGTTGAACACCATTGAAGACAATGTTAGCATCTGTTAGATTTAATAGTAGAGGGAAAATAGTTACATTTTATTTTTGTCTTCCGGGTTTAAAGTCTCTTTGGATGTGTCGGTGTTATTATTCATGAGACTGCGTTTTCTTATCCTATGAGAAGACACTGTCTCTTAATTATTTATGACACCACGTGGATCTTTCCAATGACAGACAAACTGTAATATCGCGCAGTAGATGAGCAAAAGTTTCAGTGCGTTGCATAGACTCTGGCTGCAGGTGGTTGGCCGGCCATCAACCACGGACACATCTAATCTATGTGTGTGTAGCAAGCATTTTGGTATCGAGAGAGCTTGGTGGACTTCGGCCTTGTTCACCAATCCGAGTTGCGTCTTGTGAGTGATGCGGTACCAAGTCCCTAGAATTTTTCTATCCCTTCAGAGGTGTGTGTGTGTGTGTTCGTGTGTGTCTAAAATGTAACCTTGGCCATTTTACTTGCCTTAGTTTTATTAAACTTCTGGGGTCGACAAACGCGCCGGCGCGTTTTGCTGGATTTTTTTCTCATAGCAGTAAAATAGACTTAAAATACTTTATTTATGGTCATACTGTACAGACTTAAGAAATATGACAAAATAAACTGTTAAATGTGTACTTTTTTATGTGTCCACTTACAATCAAACCAAAACTGTGTGCTTTTATAAAATAAAGAAAATACACAGGATGTGCTTTCTGCCTCTCTGTCTCCATGAACTTTTTATTCGGAAGCTTGTCTTTAAACTTAAACAAAACTCAGCGAGTAGTTACTATTCACCCAGGCAAGAGCAGTATACCTTTAGAATCCTTTAAAACATATGCATTTATAGTGTGTGTATATAAACAAATATATATTTTATAATGACATTTATAATTGTACATGTAGATTAATACGTTTTAAATAGAATTACAATTTGCTGTAGGCTAATATAGGCAGGGCAGTCAATTACTTTTAAAAGGAAAAAAAATAAGATGTCAGTGTATTTCATTAGACTTTAACTTTGCCAGCTATAAAAATTCGAGCATTTCCTTACGTTTTACCACTGATTTTTAGTGAGAGTTGATATGCATGGGCCACAGGCCGATGACAGTTTTCCCGCTCTCCCCTGCCCTGCCGTGCTATGCCACACCCACTCCCATTCCTTCTTCTCACAGCCATCCATGCCCATTTAAGTTGCATTTTTCAAAAAGATTGTGAGCTAGACTTGAGCTGAAAGAGGGGAGTTTCATGACCCTTTAATAAAATGACCATGTTGCCATGGAAACGTAAAACCTCATCTTTGGGCAATATGCGTGTTTCTGCGTGTGGAGGAAGTGGTCTCATACATAATGATTGCGAATGACTAGTCTATCCTCGCTAACACATTGCTGCACAACCACTCACCCACCAACATACAATTTTCTGACCTTTGCACCTGAAAATGTGTAACTGTGGATCAGTTCAGCACACATTCTCTTTATAGATGGAAAAGAAGAGGAGGCAGATATTAATGTCTCTTGTTTTATAAGACATAAGTGATCTCATCACTGCTTTAGCACAGGAAGTGTTCGTTTGTGAGAGAGATTTAAGATCAACGATAAATGACTGAATGTTCAGCTTATGTTTAGTCTGTAGATTTTGTGTTTAAAATTTGTCCCAAATTTTTATGCTGCCTAATGTACACACTGCTGTCTTTGATTGCTATTAACTCAATAAATTACCAACAGCTCATAAGCTGTTTATTAAAAATGCAGGGGAGGCATTAAGATGATCTCAACATCAGGTTAATAAACACTTCTGCTCTGACTAATGATATTGATGCTGGGAAGAGCATAATGTATATTACTTTATATAATGTGGGTTGACGCCATATCTAATTGTACATAAGTGAAAGCAAGACTGGTTGTAATAGGGCCAGTTGCATAAACTGCTAAGACTAGTCTTACAAGTTAGACATCAATTTTTCAGGTTCGTAATCAAGACTGTTTGTAATTTCAGGTACATAAAATAGTAGATTGGTCTAATTTGATACCAAAATGTACTCTAACTCTAACTAACTGCAAGTTGGTCATACTAGTTCTTAAAGGGCACCTATTATGGTGTTTGAACAAAAATGTGTGTTGGCAGTGTGTGTACACAACAACCCTATAATGATAAAGATACACCCAGTGCTTTTTATCCCCATAATTCAGTCTCAGAACAACTCCTTGTAAGATCATTCATCATCATTTGATACTCAAGGATGGATCTGTTGCAACTGTTTGTGATCAAGCTTTCAGTCTCCTCAGCGATAAGGCCTAATGTTACTGATCACTGCAGTAATGAAAAAGTGCACTTCATTACAGTACATCCGAGTCGTGTTACGGATATAAAGTTCGACACCACTACAAATGGCTGTTCCCCTTAAATAGAGCACTATTTAAGAGTGTAGGAGTGCTTTCGGACACAGACAATTTTTCCTGCTAAGCTGGGGTTCAGTTATTCTTCAGCACTGCACTCTATTGGTCATTGGAGGCATTGCAGTAATATCACCAGTGATGAAATGGACAGATCCTTTCAGAAACCGTGCATACATTTTTGCTTCAATAAATTGGTTTCTTGTGTGCACGCAGGTATGATTCAGAGAGGGATAACTTCATCGATCTGATGGAGCTGAAGCTGATGATGGAGAAACTCGGAGCACCTCAGACTCATCTGGGCCTGAAGAACATGATTAAAGAAGTAGACGAAGACTTGGATGGGAAACTCAGTTTCAGAGAGGTAAATGCTCCTGTGTGTCAAAACAGTTAGTTACAGATATGGCCGTATTTCACAGCAAAAAGTACACTATTGAAGAGTTCTACTCAGTATTGTAGTCGAGACCACCTCACTCGAGTCCGAGTCAAGACCGAGTCCATAGAGAGTCGAGTCCGAGACCAGAGACGGACGAGACCAGTGAGGGTTGATTACCTAATTTACTTTTATTTACTTGGAGAAATCCTTTTTTTTTTTTTTTACTGAATTTAAAGAGTTTAAAAAATATGATCAGTTTAGGGTAAAAAGGCCACATAGTAGGTGGTGTTAAAAGTTATTTTATTACAATTTGTCATGCGCAGTTGCGCACTAGAAAATCACCAATCACTGGGCGTGTCAATCAATTTAAAGAAATATTTTATTAATAATCATGAAAATTATTTTGAATTGAACTCGAGTGGACTCGGGAATAAGTCAGAGTCCTAAAAAAAAAAAAAATGTTCGAGTACGAGTCAATTCCGAGTCCAAATGCACACGAGTCCATGACAAGACCAAGACCATAAAAATATGGTCTCGAGACTGAGTCCGAGTCTCGAGTACTGCAACACTGGTTCTACTTCACATGAAACTGCTTTTTCTGCGGTGAACATTCCCTACATTAATCACCTTCATCCTTTCCTCTAGTTTCTCCTTATATTCAGAAAAGCAGCAGCAGGAGAGCTGGCAGAGGACAGTGGACTTCACGTCTTGGCACGTTTGTCGGAGATTGACGTGTCAACTGAGGGAGTGAAGGGAGCCAAATCATTCTTTGAGGCAAAAGTAAAGAATCATGACATTTAATACTTTTATTTTCACCATCTTAGTCTGATAGCTCTGTTTTAATGATTATTTTGATTTCCTTCGTAGATGTGTTTCATTGAATCCCACCTGATAAGAAAATTCAATTTAGGATCACCTAAAATGTACATTTTCCTCTGTGACAGGTGCATGCGATTAACGAATCAAACCGGTTTGAGGCAGAAATCCGTAATGAGCAGGAGGAGAAGAAGCGTCAGGCGGAAGAGAGGAAACAAAGACAAGCCGCTTTCAAAGAGTTGAAGTCAGCCTTCAAATAGCCTCATCCACCTCGACAGCCTCGATTTATGTGTGTGTGTGTGTGTGTGTGTGTGTGTCTGTCTGTCTGTCATCAGAGTCCCCCGCAATCAGAGATACTATGCAAGGCTGTGAAATGCTCAGAAAACCATGCAGATTCGTCTTCCTGAGAGAGGGAACACCTGTGGAGTTTGTGCTCAAGAGCGGATCTCTTGTCTTGTTTTATCTTTTCCTCTTTCTCTCGCTCTCTCTCAGGCTGATTTTGAATGTGAAGCCAGACACTGATCTCAGTACACTGGATTGGATTTGTTCTATTGCAGTCACATGAGTATATATGTACTGTAGTTCATTCACCTCATCGTTGCGTCAGTATCGGTTTAGCTTTAACGGCATCTTGCGTCTTGTTCTTGTCGATGTGTCAGTAGGTTTCATTTTAACTCTTAAGGGGTTTTAAAGTTTTTTTTGTTTGTTTTTTTAATCGACTTGTACTCTCAGTATGCCATATCCTGTCTGTTGTATTCATATCAATAGCATAATTTCCTGTTTATACAGGAAATGCTTTACACTGTACTGTAACTAATTACATTTTCCTCACTGACCCTTTAAACATGAGAGGATTAGTGTACATCAAATCTCTGCTCTTGTTCAAAGATACTTTAAGAGCATAAAATAGTCTATATTTTTACTGAGCAGAGAGAGAGATGAAGAGGTGGCTTTGGGTGTATGCATGTGTGGTGATGATTGTAATGGTGTTTGTTGAGTGTTTATATATAGTTTTTTGCATGGTCACTGTGGTGTCGTTGTCCATACATGGTTCCCTTCAGTCTGTAAGGTGTCCAGTATTCAATGTGGCACACACATGCTTTACAATTGGTCTATAAAATCAAAATGGGAAATTACTGTAAATTGTAAAATCAAATGGCTTAATGTCAATGGAGGTGTTGTCAGGACTAGGTCATCTGACTGTTTAACCTCTAAACCCCTGTATTGAGTTTCCATTTGTGCTAAACCATTAACTGTGACATGTTAACGGGGTTGGTCAGATACTGGATGGATGAGTGAAATCCACCACCTCAGCTTTTGTTTAAAGGGATAGTTCACCCATAGTTTTATTTACTTGCCCTCATTTTGTTCTAAATATGTATAACTTTCTTCTGCTGAAGATATAAGAAAAATGTTTAAACTGTTTTTGTCTATATAATGAAAGTCGGTGGGGTCCAGAACTATTTTAGCTTTCATTGTATGGATAAAAAAAAAAAATGCTTAAACATTTTCAAAATATATTATTTTATGTTCCACAGAAGCAAGAATGTCATTCGGGTTTGGAATGACGTGATGGTGAGAAAATTATTTTTGGGTGAACTATCTCTCAAGTGTCAACTGCCTAAATCAATCTGGCTTGCTTAATATTTGTCAAATTATGACCAAGATTAGAAGCCTTGCAAAACACCCCATTCACAGTGAGATGAGGTGAAAGGTTTTTTTTATGAATAGAATTTAAGACATTTGATTTATTAAAACGATAGATAGGCATGGCTGTTCTGTAGACCTGGTGCATGAATTCTAGCATCAAAATGACCAATGTTATTTATTAAATATCTAGTTTTAAAAAATACATTACTGATTACTGTGACAACATCCAAAATATGAGGGAACATATCATTCCACAAGCGTAATTAATTGAACGTTTAATGGTCATGTGACATGCAGTACACTGTGGCAAAAGTAACTGAGATGCTATGTATAAAGACAAATCTATATTTTCATGTGACGAAAATTAAAAAAATAATTTTAGTTTTGTATGGAAAGGGGTCTTGTGAAAAGAAACAATCTTATTTTTCAATTTGTATTTTGTTGCCTACAATCTTGTCTCCCTTCTATTCTCTGTGTATCATATTATCCTTTAGAATCAAATAAATAAAGGCAAAATACCTTTATTTATTTTTTTTACATTAGAGTCAATATTGTTGGCAACTGCTATGCTTCATGTTCCTTGTTTCTGTGTTCTGAGTCACTGGTAAATGTTCTTGTTTGTTCACTAGTTCTGTGGAAATTCAAACAATAGGTGTATAAATATTTGTCTCCCAATCTTTCCAGCCATCCACTTTCTTTTTCACTTCTTACCTACTGTTGAACTGAAAAGTATTTTGAATATTGGCTTTTAAGGGGTTATTATAGTAGTGCATATGCTATTTGTTGGTGAATGAGGAGTTGAGTGATGACACCAATCAAACAACGTTTGCATTATTTTGGAAGCCATGCAACAATCTGACTTTTTATTGAAAAAGAAAAATTGAGAGGGTTTTGGCCCTATGATTAATGTTTGCACGTCTAAATAATTTAAATGGAGCTTTGGCAGTATTAACTTCTCTGTATTTCTGTGTAAATCTGCACCTTCCAAGCTAGAGAACAGAAACATTTTTTAACGTTTTACTTTGCTAGACATTTTTTTTTTCTGTAAAATGTAATTCCAAGAAAATTGGAAATGACAGTGTACTTAATTTCATTTTATGGCATGTTTATGTTGTTTAATTCTTTATTCCAGCGATTTGACAATGGTTGAAAGGGCCTTGAACCATCCTGACCATATCTGTACCTTACTGTCACTGTCTCTTTTATTTGAAACTGGTGGTTATGGTATCATACTCTTGTAGGCTTATACATACTGATATGTGGCTTCTATATTATGCATTTATTTTTGATTTTCTTACTAAAATGTATAATTATTCTTGTGACAATAAAACTACTTTTAATTTGAAAACATTTTGTTTATGTTGGTCATTGATGTGGTTATGTCATACTCATTCACTTATCTAACATTTAAGAAACAATATTAAATATATTGGGTAGTTTACTGATAGTTTTAAAGTACTAGAAATATTTGTTTTGTTAGACTTACGTTTGAAAATCTGGGCACGCTATCACTGAGAAGGTGTCACCTTCACCTAAGAACTAATGTGCATGAGTAAAGTACTCTTTACGTTTATGAAATTAATCTTTTGTAAATTATCTTGAAAAGGATGAAGTCAAGCACTAGGTGGAGCTATTTCCAAGCCTTCGTCTGTCGATGAAGGAAATGTTTCTCTTTTTAATCTCCATTTACCTAAATTACAAAATATTCTTAATACAAAATAGTTAACATATGGTTTGCGCTTTAAAAATTAGTGAAACAAAACACGCTTTGATAAAAAAAAAAAAAAGTTAGCTGAAACACTATTCATCACGGAACTACTGTTCACATTCTTGTATGAAGCCCAAGCTCTCCGGACTCTCGTACTAGTTGCACACGGAAGTGTTGATCACGTGACACGGTTCCAGCGTAAATATTTTTCTCCTCACAGCGAATGATCCCTGACCCCGCAGTTTTAGCCTCATGAATGAGTGTTACTTCACTTTCCCTTAGTTTAAACTACGTAGATTTTTGCCTAGTACCCCCAGCGCGTTAGAATATTGAAAATAAGCTGAAAAAATGAACGTGGATCATCCTCAAACTGGACAGACCGGAGCAGCCGCCGCGTCCATCACATCTACATCCAGCAGCAACTGCGTCCCGAACAGCAGCTCCACACACGCCAGCAGCATCCCTGCGGTGGGCAGCAGTAATGGTGGGGCAACTCTCTTTGCGACAGTTTGGATGTTCAGATACTTGCTGTTGTCTTTTGATTTTTTTTTATAAGATTGTAAATATGGGCAGGAGTGTATTTATAGTCGAAATTTCATTTCATTTATTTATTTATTTCAACAGGGACAATGTGCAAAAAAACATTAATTAAAGATGCTTTGCACCAGATTTAGCTTAAGCTAGTTTCCATCTGTAGTCCCCGAGCAGGTGAATTACAATACAAAATATACAATATAAAATGTTATAATTAGTCACTCAAATACAACTATCTATCAATTCATTCATTCATCATTCTCTATTTCAACCATCAATAAAACCTCACTAAAAGTCATATTTACATACATAATTATCTATGCTGGCACAACTGGTTGTTCAATAGTACTTTCCTTATATTGATAGAAAAATCCTTCAGGTTAAAAGTGAGTTTTAATGTAAAAGTAGAATTAAATGTACGGTTCTAAACGTCTGTGGTAATTCCCCCCTGCATAGTTCCCACTTCGGCTGCCATGGCAACCCCATCATCCGACTCCACCGTGTCAAACGGGGTTTATGTACCCACAGGGATCGCCAATGGAGATGTGAAACCCGTTATCTCAACTACACCACTGGCCGATTTCCTGATGCAGTTGGAGGACTACACTCCTACAGTGAGTCCGCATATTCTGTATATTCTTTGGTTATTGTGAGTTGCACTGTTAACAAGCTGTCTGTGTTTCAGATCCCAGACGCAGTCACAGGATATTACCTCAACCGAGCTGGTTTTGAAGCATCAGATCCAAGAATGTGAGTTGAAACAATGAATGTTCTCTTAGAAAGCGGTTAGGCAGTGGTGATAAATGCATTCTCCAGATTTGCTTTGAACTTTAAAGAAGTGTTTTTAAACAAAATCAAGTTTGTTCATATTGCATGTTGTTGGGAGGCTGCTTGACTTCATGAATAACTATATTAGCATGAACATTAATTATTTTTATTATCATAGAAAATACTTATATGGTGAAAACTTAAGTTTATAAAACTTAAATGAAAATTAGAAATGTTGTTTTGGCAATTAACAGTAATAAAGTACATTTAAATTGAAGTACTAAAATGACTAAATCTAAAATTGTAAAAAAAATAAAATAATAATTAGAGCTAAGGAACTGTTGTTTAAGAGTCTAGTTAAATTGACTCCTTGGGTACGACGGGAGGTTACTCATCTTGGCTTATAGACTCGGATCTAAGTTTTAACTCATATTAATAAGACTTAAGAAACATAGCTAAAATCCGTCCTTTTTTAAACCAGAAAGATGCAAAAAAATGTATTCATGCTCTTATCTCAAGTAGATTTTGTTTAATGCAGGTTTATCATTATCATTATTGAGGTCCTCAACAATAAACAAAAGAAAATTGGTGATGTGAACTTTGCTAATTATGCCCCCAAACTATGGAATAAACTACCATTAGATATTAGGGAAGCTTGTACAGAATGTACACATACAATTTTTTTTTTTTTTTTTTTTTTTTTTTTTTTTTTAAGAAGTTAAAAACTTTTTGTTTTTTTATTCTGCCCTTAACTTAGTTCTACTCTAGAATATATTATTATAAATCGTTTCTTAAATGTTTTACCATTTATGTGTGTTGAAGATGACTTTCAGTTTGTCTTTTTCTATGTGTTTTGTATCTTATATTGTGTGATGTACTTAAATCATTTAATATTTTTTGCTGTTGATATTCATCTGAGCAATTCTTATCATGTAAAGCACTTTGAACTACATTTAATGTCTGAAAGGTGCTATATAAATTATTATTATTATTATTATTATAAGTCATGAACCAAGTCAATCAGCTACAAGGTGAATCATTCACAACACTACAAACTTTGATTTGAAGTTTTGGAAAATCGGACAAAAAGACTTAACGGTTGTAGTGATGGAAAGAACTACAATCCCATGAAGCACTGTTAAACAGCAAAATCGTCAAAAACTGTTGCACTCTATTGCATTGTTGGGTAATCCATTAGGCAATATTGAAATGCTATATTTCTTGTCAAAATCTTGCTTGCATCAATATCCTCTTGTTTGTTGTCAGAATCCGTCTCATATCCCTGGCGTCACAGAAGTTCATCTCAGATATTGCAAACGATGCACTACAGCACTGCAAAATGAAGGGCACGGCATCCGGAAGCTCTCGAAACAAGGCCAAGGTTTGTGCTCACAAATGGTCAAACAGTTATCTGTCATATAATGGATATTTTTAATCTGCTGGTCATAATTTGTACAAAATAAAAATGTGGTGTAAAAATCTCTCCAGGACAAGAAATACACGCTGACAATGGAAGATCTGACACCGGCCCTGACAGAGTATGGCATAAATGTCAAGAAACCTCACTACTTCATCTGAGGGGACGTGCCTCGTTCAAATGGACTGCTGGAAATGTGCCGTTTGTCACATCAGAGCTTTCAAGACATTATCCCCTCAGTGTGGGAATCATCAGCCCAGAGCTTTTAGGGATTTAGCGACTTTTTTGCATTTTCTTTAATCGCGTTTAAGTTGTTTGATTACACCACGCCATGTGACTTTAGTTAATGTTAGTAAAATGCTGTACAAATAAATTCATTGTAATTAAGTTCTTCCTTTTGTTTGTGTAATTGCATGTCTTCTGTTACTGAAGCCTACTGGGATCAGTTATCATAGAAGTCAGTCTTAATTTAACTACTGTAGAGAGTTTACATTTGTGACGTCAGTTCATACACTGTCTAAACTTCTCATCTCTGCTTTATGGATTTAGTTTCACGCCATAAGAGGCATGAGCCGTAATGTGTGGCAGTATTAATAGTATCTGGAGCTGCTCTCAAGTTTCCCTCTCTGTGGTGTAGTACAGCTGCACGCTCATCACACCATCCAAACATGATATAAATAATAATACAAAAATACTAACCTTTGCTTTTAGCTGTATGTGCTCACTGGCAAATGTAATGCAGCTGCAAGCTCAATAGGGTGACAGTGCAGTTATACAGTGAAATAAAAAACCAAAGCAATGAGATTATTTCTCTGCGTTTATTTGAGAAACAGTGGATTAATATCCTTCATTTTTTTAAGCATTACTATTTCCCCCCAAATGATTTGCACATTTTCCCATTTCCAAAGAAAAAAAGTGAACAATGTTTCTCCTGTTTATAAAATTGCACTTTTAACCTCATTATGTATTCAGACACAGACACACAGGCTGAGGTGGAAAGAGAAAGTGTGTGAATCTGCACAATGCAAATGCACCAACAAAATATTATACTTTGCAATTAAATATAAAACCATGTTCTGAACAGAAATGACACATCAAGCCTTGTACAACAGAAGATTTAAGACTTCAATCGGTGGCATCGTTCAATACATTTTCCTGTTTTTCAAGTTCAACTATATTTCAAAAAGGTGCAACGTTGCAGCAGTAGTCAGCTACTATGTTTAGAAGATTCACAAAACTGGTACATTCTTGCTCAGTAAAAAACTTTTCATTATTATTTAGAAGTATCTTCACGGTATTTGTGATGTGCATGCTTTGATTTGTGGAAACCAGTGTTGGGGAAAGTTACTTGCTTGTTTTTTTAATATTGTTTATTCATTTATTTTATTTTTTTTGCAAATGTAAACAAGTGAAATGAAAAAGCCAGTAAAGGGCGCAGCTCAAACAAACCGTCAGCTGTGCTGCCATTCTGGATTTTAAAAAAGTGAGAGGAGCAAATGCCTGCTCACAATTACAGTACTTAAATGTTTACACAGCGCACACAACGCCTCTGAACATGGAGACAGGAGAGCGATAAAATCAATCCAGAGTCAATAAAAGGGAAAACAAAGAAACTTTCATTATTTAATTGAAACTATATTTTGTTCTAAAAGTAAAATTTATGTATCCCTTTAAAAACTACTTAAAGGAGCTGTATGCAAGAAATTTATTTCAATCAATCAAACATTTTACACAAGGTTCAGGCTATACTGTTGTGGTATGGTTGCAAATATGAACCACTGATTCTTCACATGCTTGTCCCTGGACAAAGGAAACAAGTGGCTGAACTGTCTTTGCAATGCAGAACACAGCATCTTCTCGACATGATGCGATTCAGCTGAAGTATTTGAATGTGTTCTAGACTTGAAGTTTACACTTCCGTCTGCGCGCGCATTTGTTGGGAGCGGCCAATGATTGTATCTACGTCACGACGAAACATCTAATGACTCGTTTCAAAAACAATTCATTTCATAGACTCAGAGTCGACTCTCACTTTTGAAAGACAATAACTTTATATACGGTGCACTTTCAGATATAAATCTTTGCAGGATGTTTTCATTCCCATAGAGCTATATTCCACACTACATGAACAGTCATTTTCAAAAATCCAAGATAGGTGCTCTTTAAGAAATCATGTTCATTTCAAAAACTTATGTCACTGACAACAGTAGTCCGGCCAGGATATTGTCATATAAAAAGTGCAGTTGCAGCCCTCAACTGATGTTGTCAAGTTGTGTTTTGTTCTAATTAAGCACCCTCCACCGATGCCAATCGTGGATTCAGTAGTGTTGCGGCATTCGGGTTGCCAGCTCTTCTCTAGTTACAACAGCTGCGATACAAACGTGTCGGAATCGGATAAAAAATGTCTAACGTTGCGAAAAAAAAAAAAAAAAAAAAAAAAAACCTCGATATGAATCCGAAATACTTTGTGACAAAGTCCGAAATAAATAATTAACAGAAAAAAAAACTCACTGTGTAGGACTTGTCACTTGCCATTGGAAGCTTATTGTAGCAGCCTACGTTCCTGCTGAATCCTGCAGCATATCTGGCAACCTTAAGTCAAGGGGGAAGGGGGGATACACCGCTCTACAGTAATTTGAAAGTTATGGCAGTACCAGTTTTGGCCACAATCGTGCATACGGCTCCTTTAAGTAACTAACGTTACTTGTAATCAGTTACTGAACTATCCCTAACACTGGCAAACTATGCACCTCTAGACTGAAAATGTAATACGCATCTGCATGACAAATCAATGTAATTTGCATTTTTGTAGTTTACAGAGTGATTTTAATGCTATCGGTTTCAAAAACTGTTTTCAGGCCCCCAAAATGCCTTTGTCGTGTAAATGAATGGCCAAAACGCATAAAAAGTTATTTAGTTGATAAAAGTGTCATGTAAACGGCCTATAAGCATAAAAGTGTCAGTGCCTGTGGGTAGTGCACTACACTAAAAAAAAACTTTGCCCTCACAGGGACACAGTTCAATCTGGCCTACGTCACATACTGATCCCATTATCTCTTTCTTTTCCTCCACTGCTCTATCTCAACTGTATATATATATATATATATATATATATATATATATATGTATATATATATATATATATATATATATATATATATATATATGAAGAGTTCAGATCCAAAAGCCTCTAAATGCCATTTGAAATTTTCTTCTTTAATGATGATTTTTATCAAACTTGTATTATTTAAGTTCAGTAATTTCACTTAAATGGCAATGATAATTACCTATTAATTGTTATTTAAGTGAAATTACTGAACTTAAATATACAAGTTTGATAAAAATCATCTTTAAAGAAGAAAATTTCAAATGGCATTTAGAGGCTTTTGCATCTGAACTCTTCATATATATATATATATATATATATATTAAAAGTGTATTCCAGAAAAATGTGCTGTTTTATTTTCAATTCCATTATGAGCACTTAGGAAGATTCTTTTGAAGAATGTAAAGGCTCATGTGAAACATATGAACATGCACTTCAATTTGCAGATAGAAACAATTCAATTTTGTCAGACATTAAAAGCCCTAATATACCTTCTTGGTTTCTTTGCAAGTCACTTTGGATAAAAGCACCTACTGAGGTGCATGTAAAATGTAAATACACAAATAAAGTGCTTTGCAAATTGTACTAGCCAATCATAGAGCACATGCATGCAAACACTTCACATTTAACAAAAATGAAATTTCCAATTTCTCTTTAGAACCAATATGTTTTATATCACCATATTCACCTTTTGAGCTGCTAAACATTTTCCTCTAAACAAGATGCCAAGATTTTAAACCCCCTTCGGTTTAACAACGAATAATGTTATAATTAAATACAAAAAAATCCTTCAATATAATTTCTTAAATAATGTGTGTCCTATGAACATAACTTAACAGTGAGCAGTCCATTTTAGTGTTACAAACATGTGCAGTTTATACCACAGGCACGAGACAAATAAAAGAGAAGACTTGACTTCATGTCTCTGTGTCCACGGATAACAAAGTTTCCGGGCATTTGTCTGTATTATGCAAGTCACTCAACTGTAAATGTTCACAGAACAGAAGTGAACACTTTTATTGAGGATATTTGGTAAATTCAGTCACCAAAAAACAAACAAGTCCTGAATCGGAGTAGCCAGTCGAAAAAAAAAAAAAAAATCACCAGACTTTTTGTATGACAGACTACGGATCTTAGTAAAAGTGTCCTTTCAAAACAAACAGCACTACCTGTTTATAAAGTGTGATGCAAGTGATTTTGTACAATGGCAGAGGATTCAGGCTGATGATGTTGAATGTCTCTCAGTATCGATCTACACTGCACTGGTCTCTTCATTGGGTTTGGCTGGCTTGGGGCCGGGTGGAACTGGGATGGGACGCCGTTTACGTTTTGTTACCTTGCCGCTCTGCCCGTTTACAATACCCTGGGCCATGCCCTCCATATCCTCCATACCAATATTAATGGCTTCTGCCAGCTCCTTCCTAGTCACAGATACAAACTGTGGATCCTCAGCCAAGGAGTCTAGACCACCATCTCTCAGTGCCTGCGGATTAATGGAAAATACAGTTTAATAGTATTTCCTGAGCAGGTCTGTAATGAATGTAAAGTACAGGAGATTTGGCCTGGTGTAGTTTACCTGCTGAATGAGTTTGTCGGTGGCTGGTGAAGCTTCTGTTGCTGCTCTCTGGTACTTTGACGCTCCATATGAGGGATTGTATGGGAACTGAGAGTCACACACACAGACAGTTGTCAGGAATATCAAAAAGTCACCGTACTGTGTTCAGCTAAGGATATATGCAACATTTATCCACACCTGTGTGATATCAGTCCTCACAGTGAAATCTGAAAGCTGTCTGTCATCAACACTTGAGGCTCCGCCCACATACAAATGAGAGTCTCCTGTTGGTTGCACAGGAAATAATGTACGTAATTTGTACAAGAAAATGTGTAGATTACTGTCAATATAATGATGTCTTCATGGCATGATCATTATAATAGGCTTGATAGATTATCATATATTTTTAATGTTAAAGATTTTTAATGTTTTGAAGGAATTCTCTTATGCTCACCAAGGCTGCATTTATTTGATCTGATATGAAAACAGCAATATTTTGATATATTATTACAAATTAAAATACATTTTTTTTTATTGTATTATACATTTTAAAATATTATTTATTCTTGAGCTTTATATTTAAAGCTGGTCACATGATCCTTCAGAAATCATTCGAATATGCTCGTTTACAGCTCAATATTTTTTTATTATTATTATCAATGTTGAAAACAGTTGTGCTGCTTATTATTTTTGGTACAGTAGATTATTATATGAATAGAACGTTCAAAAGAACAGCATTTATTTGATATAGAAATCTTTGTAACATTGTAAATGCCTTTAATGTTACTTTTGATCAATTTACTGTGTCCTTGCAGAATAAAAGTATTCATTTATTTTTTCATAAATGAATCACATTGCCCCCAAACTTTTGAACGATAGTGTATAAGGAGGCATTTGTTATACTCCATTTAATTAAAATTAAATAATAACATTTAATAAAAAAACAGTACTTTTAATGTATTACTGTAAAACAAATGAGAACAGTAATGAGAATCATTAGGGTATAAAATATAGTGGATTGTCTTGACAATAATATCACAATGGAATAGTCATTTTATAATTGTTATTTTTTCTTCGATCACCTACTGTTTTCACTTATGTCCTCGTATGAATAGTTTCTGGTTGCAGCAGTTGACAGTGACTCGCTCTCAAAAGTAAACCTGGATGACATACTGGAAAAAAAAAACATCAGATCAGCATAATGACCATTACAGATACACATTAAGTGCTCTTTTTCATTAAAGATGCCACTCACTCATCAATGAATTTGGCATTGTTATTGGTGTTGGTTTTCATTGTCATGTTATCAGGGAAGAACTCAGTGATCGGGAGGAAGACGGAGTCTGGAGGGGACTCTATGTCCTCTGGTCGAGTCTCAGCAAACTGCAGGGGCCTATGGCTGGTCATCTGTGCGGAGAGGGGGCTGCTGGGCTCAGAGGAGAAGGGGTCTGCGTTGATCCCAAACAGACCACCGGTCCGCTGCATAGATAGAGACACAGAGGCTGTAAGTACAGATGGATGTCTATATCTACATTGATCTATGTCCTTTAGAAGATGCTTTTCTGCAGACCCTGTAGATGCCGTCC